GGCTGTTTTTAAAAATCTGTATTCTAATTATACATAATTAGTTAGTATAAGTGAAAGAACTGCATCCGATAGGACATAAGGTTACATACGTGGTGCAGGAATTAGGGAAACTCAACAGAGAAGGACCAACCAGAAAGAAAGTTTGTCATGAGTACTAAGAAGTATATTAACCATAAAACGAGCATTTTGTGAATTTTTTTTATCGGGAGATGGGAGGAGGGGCAGGATGTGAGAGAAAGATAAGCAGACATATTGTATGGAATTAACACCCCTTTCAATATTGAAGGGATGTCTAAGAGGCGGTACCTCCGAATATAACATCCATCTCAGATAGGAGCGAGTCTTGAGGGTGGACAACCTTAAAATCTTCCCACACGACCCAAGTATGAGAAAGTCAAATTTGGGATTTGAAACAGGACCGTCGGAACTTTTGCGCAACTTGATGCTAGCCGAGTGAAACATGCACTTGAATGACAGATAGAAACAACAGAGGAGAAAACACCAAGAGAAGTAGGACCTACTAGGGGCACCCTCCAAGCACCCGTAACAAGAAAGAATGTTCAGAAAAAAAAGTTGTGAGAGGGAGTTTACCACAGCGGGTTAGTTAGTAGGATGATGGCTTCATTGCACCAGGAAGCAAACGGGAGAACCCACCAAAAAAATGTAGCAGTAACAACACAAAGGAAGGGGATAGAAACGGGCATGCCGCATTATGAACACCCACTAACCACCCTCAGGAAGGAAAGAAGGTATAATGTTTTACGCCTATATCAACAGAATTTGGACTATTTAGAAGGCTGCCTATTTCAACCCTGACATGGGATAGTCAGAAGGACATCCAGAAGGCAGACAAGCAGACAGACAGACAGACAGACAGACAGACAGACAGACAGACAGACAGACAGACAGACAGACAGACAGACAGACAGACAGACAGATAGACAGGCAGGCAGGCAGGCAGACAAGCAGGCAAACAGGCAGACAAACAGACAGACAGACAAATGGACATTCATGCATAGGTATAGATAAATAAACCTATAGATAGAAAGGCAGATCGACAGATAAATGAACAGATAGAAAAACAGCTACATAAACAGGTTGGCAAGTGGATGGATGGATGGATTATATACACCGCAACCAAGACTAAAGCATTCATCAGTCACCAATCACAGAGGAAAGAGAAAAAAATAAAGAGAGAAAGAAAGAGAAAGAGAAAGGGAGAGAGAGAGAGAGTGG